CTCGTACTCCTCATCCTCCTCCCGCTGCCCAATTGCGTTCGCTCTCCTCCTCCCCCTCGTTTTCCACCTTCTTCTCAACCTCTTTCCCCCTCTTCGCTCCACTCCCCATCCTCTCCCTGATCAAGATAATTCGCCTGGGCATCGTTGCTGGATGGGCTTCGACTGCAGGGGCCGATAGACGCATTAGGGCCACTGGTGGCAATCGTCTGCCATCGTCTGCAGCAGACGATGGCATACGATAGGACCAGCTAGCAGACGCCAGGAACCGGTGCAGACGATTGCAGACGATAGCAAACGATAGGTCCAGCTGGGGGCTGCCAATAACCGATGCAGACGATAGCAAACGATAGGATATGATAGGGGTCGTCAGGGGTGGCAGTCTTCCGCCACCGTCTGCGGCAGACGATAGGGGCTAACTAGGGGCTGCCGTCTGCTACCGTCTGGACGATAGGGCTAACTAGGGGCTGCCAGGGCCCGCTGCGTACGATAGAGAAAGGGTCCAGACGATAGCAGACGATGGGATCTGATAGGGACCGCCGGGGGTGGCTGTCGTCGGCTATCGTCTGCAGCAGACGATAGCGGACGATAGCAGACGATAGGACCAGCTGGGAGCTGCCAGGACCCGCTGCAGACGAAAACTAACGATAACCCGAAACCAGCTGCGGGGCCGGCAGGAACCGCAAGGGGCAAACAAGAGGCAGCAAGGCACTTGGGTGCAATCGTTTGTTATCGTCTTCTATCGTCTGCTATCGTCTTCTATCGTCTGCTTTCGTCTGCTATCGTCTGCTATCGTCTGGCACCAAAAAGCCGACAGCGCTTACAACTACAATGTGTTTGTTGAGCCTTTTCGCTTTTTCGCTCCCGATGGGCTCTTGAGGCCTCAAGATGGGCCCAAGGTAGCCCAAGGGAGCCCCAGGAGGGGCTGGAAAGGGCTCCAAGACGGCCCCAAGAGCGCCCAAGAGCGCTCCAAGAGCGGCCAAAGAGGGTCCCAAGACGCCCTTTTTAAGCCTCCGAGGGAGAGGATCTGAATTGGGGACATCCTTCTTTTTGAACAGATGGGGGCCAAGACGGCCCCAAGAGGCCTCCCAGACCCCCACAAAGAACCCCAAGATGGCCGCAAGACACCCAAAAAGAGCCCCAATAATGCCCCAAGAGGGCCCCCAAGAGAACCCCAAGAGACCCCCAAGATGGTTCCAAGAGACCTCCGAGAGACGCGTCCGAGGCGATTGTTACACAGCCTGCTTCCACCATCACCGTCAGCACCAGCAGCAGCACCAGCAGCAGCAGCAGCACCAGCAGCAGCAGCACCACCACCAACAGCACCAACAGCACTAGCAGCAGCGGCAGCACCAGCAGCAGCAGCACCACCACCACCAGCACTAACAGCAACACTAGCGGCACCAGCAGCACCAGCAGCACCAGCAGCACGAGAACCGGCAACACCAGCAGCAGCAGCAGCAGCAGCACCAGCACCAGCAGCAGCAGTATCAGCAGAGGCAATAGCACCAGCAGCAGCACCAACACCCTTCGCTACCAGAGATCTCCCAATTCACCGTTGTTGCCCGCGCTGTTTCACTATGTTCGTCTCCCCCCCCCTTCTCCCGTGAGATCTCCTGGGCATCATTCCTGGATGGGTTGGTGGGAATACGCGAAGCGCCAAGAATTGCCCTCCAGAGGCCTCCGAGAATACTCTGACGAGGCCCGAAAAAGCATCCCTCCCCGAGGACTCTGGCCCACAACCCAAACACTGTGGCGAGGTGGGACAAAGCCCAGTGGGATGATCATGAACATCATCCGCATCGTTGTCATCGGCATCTTCGACCACATCATGGGCAGCATCAGTGTCCACAACAACACATGCATCATCATAGTAAGCGTCAGCATCCCATCAGCATCAACATCCGCATCGCGGAAGCCAAACTTACCATCAATTGCATCCTTGTCACCACGATTCGCACCAACAACATGCGCATTGTCGCAATAAGCGCCATCACATTACCCTAACCAGCATCAGCGTCCACAAACAAATCACCAGAAACATCATTACCGTGAACGTCGCCATCTGCAGCACACGAGTCATCATCGTATTCCTCATCAGCATCATCGAAATCAGTACCACAACTACCATCATCATAATCATCAGCATCATCATCACCATCATCATCATCGTCATCATCATCGTCATCATCATCATCACAACCATAATCGTAACAATGAGCGTCATCAGCAGTACCCCCGTCGACAGAATCATCGCCACGATCGTCTAAATTTTCCTCATCGTCATAAGCAGAAACTTCGGCCTCATCATCATCGTTGCCGCCATCATCATCATCATCATCATCATCATCATCATCATCATCGTCGGCATCACCACCACGAACACAGGACTTCCGGGGACCTCCGGGGACCTTCTTGGATCTCTGGGGGTCGAGGTCCGGGGCGGGAGCAAAACATACCAGCAGCAACTAACTTGTCACCACTATCCACACCAACAACATTCGCATTGTCGCAATAAGCGCCATCGCCCTAATCAGCATCAACGTCAAGAAGCAAATCACCAGAACATAAGTATCGTGAACGCCGCCATGTGCAGCATCCAAGTCATCATCGTACTTGTCATCATCGCCCATATCATTATCTCTATATCAGCACCACCATCGTCACAATCAAAATCGTTACAGTGATCGCCATCAGCAAATCCCCCGTCGACGGAGTCATCACCGCTATCGTACAAACCATCCTCCTCATCATAAGCACACGCTTCAGCCTCATCATCAGCATCATGGTCGTCGTCGTACTCATCATCGTCATGGGCATCACCACAGCGAACACAATCGTCATCATCATTACCATCGTCGTCGTTACGGTTATCAGATGCCTCATCAGTAATTATTAAATACTTCTTTCCCTCCCTTCCTCCTCACCAGCACCATTCATGCTGTCGCCCTCCTCATCATTTTTCATCAACGAGCGCATTGCCATAATAACGGCCATCACCCTGATCAGCATCAACGTTCAAAAGCAAATCACCCGAAACATCATTATCGTGAACGCCGCCATTTGCAGCATCCAAGGCATCATCGTACTCATCATCATAATCATGATCCAAACCGGGCATCTCAACATCAGCACCACCATCAGCATCACAACCAAAATCGTTACAATGATTGCCATCAGCATGTCGCCCGTCGACGGAATCATCACCACGATCGTACAAACCATCCTCCTCATCATAAGCGCACTCGTCAGCCTCATCATCATCATCATGGTCGTCGTCATCCGTAGCCATCTTGGCTCAAGCCATCCCAGCCCAAGGCGCCGCAGGGTCCGCCCCCCGAATCGCACCACACACCTCATACATATTTTATTCGTGCAGATCACCGCCTGATGGCGGCCATCGGACATCCAGCCTCATGTTTGTCTTGCGCTCTGCTCTTGCAGCTTCTGATGATGCACCACCTCTTCTGTGCGGCGCTGAGGTTGGGAGACTCGCCCCACGACGGCGAACCCGACTATGTCGGACAGTTGCGCGCTGCCACCGCAGGCAACGTGACGCGCACGGAGGTAACAGGGCCGCTCAGGAAGATAAGCGAAGCGATCGACGAATTTCTGATCCCGCGCGTGGAGTGGAGGTTCAGCCATTGCAGTGGGGACTGGCGGATGTCGAAGTGTGTCCTTCTGCGCGTGCCGGACAAGGCCTTCCACCATTTTCTCTTGCTGGATTCGTTGCAGTTCCTTGCCGATGTGAAAGATCCTAACAGGTGCCGCGCCACCGTCATGGCTTCCAGCGGCTGGGTCGGGCAGGCCACGGAAGAAGACTTCTATTTCGGTTTTGAGCAGTGGGTCAGCAAGGTTCGAGATTCCCAGAAACGAACTGCTTTTCTGCCTGTGTGGTCTGATCCACGTCTGGACAGTCATACGGCGGAGTATTTCAGTCCGTTCTGTGGGGAGGTGGACGTATCCCCCATGACAACTAGCACAGTCTCCCCCATGACGAGGCAGGAATGCTTTTTCTTGCCGACGTCCAGCTGCACGATGGACAGTGCACACTGGGGGAAGAACTTGGTGAATGGTAACATTGATATGGCTGTGCCTTTCCGTCACCGGTTGTCCAAGCCATTTGACGGCCTTGTTGTCGGCGACCTTCATGTTATGTGGCAGATGCTCTTCTTCCGTCAGAACGCGAGGACACGACGAGATCGCCCGCCGTGAAGCAGAGTGGCGTTCCAAGAACCAAGCGTGGCCTGCGTCGGGAACAGGCCCCGCTTGCACGGCGATCCATGTCCGCCACGGGGACAAGCTCACACCGTATTGGATACAAGAGCACGATACCATCGCTGGAGGCTTCAATAAGAGCTTCGACGACTATTTAAGCGTGGCGCTTAAGATGATGGAGGACAAGCCTCAGCTGACAGACGCTTCTCGGAGCAAGAAACTTCCGCTAATATTTTTGATGACCGACGACGCTGACATCATCGCGGTGGCGAAGGGTTCTCGACGGGCCATCATCCATACCGTGCCCCCGAGCACACCGCTCAACAGCTTGTCCGACTTTTACAAAGATACAGACTCCATTGGAAGCAGCGACTTTGGATACTCGGCGGCCACTTCTGGGGACATGTTGTCATGGTTGTTGTCCATCCGCCTCATGAGCGCTTGTAATTTCTTTGTCGGTAACACGGAGAGCTCGTTCTCAAGGTTTCTGTATTATGGCATGTGCGAGCAGCGCCACGGCAGATGCCCTCGCATCTTCAGTTTTGGCCGGAGACATGAACAAGATGAGAGGCCGACCGTGTTTGAGGAATGAGCTGCTCCAAAGGTAGTATCAATGAGGAGATCCAAAGTTTGCGCAGCCGTGCTATCCATGCTGTTGCAAGTCTGTTCTACATATAGGGATTCTACAGGCTTACGCCACATCCGCCGACCCCTTGTATTCCTTGTGATAGCAGCGCGAAATCGTCAAGCATCATTAGTCGTTTTCTCTCGTCTTGCAATGTCTGGTCCCTGCCGCGCAGCATTCAATTCAGCTTACCTTTCGTCTGTAACCTTCGTTTCGGATGCAATGTCTTATGATAGCACTCAGTGCAGCTTATCTTATGGTTGTCTTACTTTGAGATGCAAGGGGCTGGGCTCCGGCCAGTTATCGGTGAAACTCTCACCGCAATTTGGAAGACCTGGTCAGCTCCCCGTCAGGCGTTTTTCCGCAATCGGGGAAGCATGCAAGACCTTCTGAGAGTTATCGGTTAAGCCCTCAGCATTCGGGAAAATTGGACGTCCCAAATGGTCCCAAGACGGTTCAAGAGGGCCCCAAGACAGTCCAAAAGAACCCCTAATAGGCCCCAAGAGGACGGCCCAGAAGACACAGGGCAAATACAGAGTGATCGGTAACGCAGAAGGCTCATCACGCCAAGGCTCCCAACGGCGAAAGCGGGCACGCGTACTGGTGAGAAAAAGGAGGACGGAGACAGGCGAATGGAGATGAGGCGGAGGATAGGGGGGGGCGAATCATCGAATATGACGAGGTGAAGCCGACCAGGAACACGAGGAGGGGGACGAGGAGGAGGGGAACGTGGAGAGGGTGGAGGAGGACGAGGAGGAGGGGGACATTGAGATGAGGCTCTGAGTTATGGTCTATGGGTGAGAACTTCTTGTATGTGTATAGCGATGTATGGTCTATGGGTGAGAAATTGTTGTATGTGTATAGCGATTTCGCGGCACGCCTTTCGGGGACCTCTGGAAAACAATTTTGAAGCCACCGGGGGGCCGAGGTGGACAAGGACGGTGAGGAGGAGGAGGAGGGGCACACAGAGAAAATGAAGAACGGGGGGAAAATAATCGACGAGGATGAGGATGAGGCGAGGGAGGAAAAGGAAGAATGGGCGAGGGGCTTCTCGCGGGATTTTTGGAGGCAGTTTCGAAGCCTCTTGGGGGCCGTTTTGGGACCGTTTGGGGCCCTCTTGGGGGCCTTTTGGAGCTTCTTGGAGACGTCTTGGGGGCCTCCTGTGGCCTCTTGGGGCCTTCTGGTGCCGTCTTGGGGCGGAAGGCTCGGATTGTCGGTTCAAGCTCCCCCTCTTGGGCCCCTCGTGGGGCCGTCTTGGGGCCCTCTTGGGCAGTCTTGGGGGCCTATTGGGCCATCTTGGCGCCCTCTGGGGCCGACTTGGGCGCCTCTTGGGGGCCTCTTGGGCCGTCTTAGAGCGGTCTTAGGGTGCTCTTGGACGGTCTTCAACGCCGTGAAGGCCGTCAAGTCGTATATCATCAAAATGTAGGTTTTTCATAGGAATTTCACAGTTTTCAGCTCGTAGGCCCTTCTGAGGACTGCTCTTGGAGGCCGCTTGGGCCGTCTTGGAGATCTCTTGGCTCGTCATGTGACCATCTTGGGCGTCTTGGAGCGCTCGTGTGGCGTCTCGGGGCCCTCGTGGGCCGTCTTGGAGGCGTCTTGGGACCTTCTTGGCCCGTCTTGAGCCCTTTTTGGGCCCAAAAAAGCCCGTGAGTCGCTCGTCCCGGGCCCGGGGGGAGGGGTCAAATCGCCGGTTTGGGGTCCCTGGGGGGGTACTTTTGGGGGGGGAACTATCTCACACGCCTAGAGACCCACAAGGGGTCGGCGGATTTTTGCCTCTCAGGGTCCTCTTGGGGGGCATCTTCAAGGCCTCTTGGGGCATCTTGGAGGCCTCTTGGGCCATCTTGAGACCATTTAGGGCGTCTTGGAGCGATCTTTGGGCGTCTCGGGGCGTTCTGAGCCGTCGTGGGCCTCTTTGGGCCCTCTTGGGCCCGTTTTGGGGCCGCCATCGCTCCGAAACGGTCACGAGAGAAACCGCGAGAAGCCCCAGGAGAAGATGTCGCGATGTGGGGTCTGGGGCTCTGAACGACTCCTCAGGCGTGATGGTTGAGGTTGAGAGGATGATGGCAAGGACCTGAGGACACGTTCTTGGTTTGAATCGAGGGGGGTGGCAGTGACTCGGGTTAGCGGTCGGTAGATTGGGCGAGGTGGCAAGTATCATCCAGGAGCAGCAACGACCCCATCCCCGAAGGGGAAACATGGGGTTGGACAAGGAACCGCGATTGACCATCTCCTGCCCAGAAGACGGCTGGGTCTTTGAGTTAGGAGACCACATGCTAGAAGTTGTCTGGGTCGGTTTCGGCGAAGCCATCATCGGTAATTTGGGCCCTGAGATGCCGCCTGTGAGGCGGTCCGGCCGGTCTCGAGACATCCCTGCAGTTATGGGTTTCGAGTTGCCGCGCGAGAGAGTCCAGCCCATTTCGCTTCGGCTTCTTCGCCGCTGTCATGAGGCGGTCCAGCTTTTTGGCTTGAAACATCCTCGCAGAGCAATCTTCGCCCGGTGCATCCTCGTTATTCTGGATTCGTCGATGCTCTTGCCGCACGGTATCAGATCCCGTTTCCTCGCTGCTCTGGGCTCGCAGTTGCCGTGGACTGTTCGTTTCGCTTGAGATCTCATTGCCACTCCAGGTTTATGTACGTCTTATGTCCTCACCTCACGTGGTCCCGATCTTTTTCGCTTGAGACATCGTCGGGATTGTATTTTCGGGGATGCCCAGACCTGAGGTGGTTCAACCAATTTCGCCCGAGATCTCCCATTTCTGGGCTCAAAGATGTCCTGTCAATTTGTGTCACTTTTCAGTGGACACTCGGGAGACTGGAACCCTCCTTGTTCCCAGTGGCAAATCTGTCAATCGGGGCCACTTGTCAAATGGGCGAGGGTACCTGGGCATTGCATGAGGCGGGTTGCCCGTCGATTTCACACACCATTCACCCAAAGGGGTGGGCGGACTTCCTTGTCCTTGCGTTAGATGCTGTGTGGCACTTCGTCGGAGGATAGGCCCGACGTTGCCCCATCAGCCAGACCACTGCTGCTACTGCACCTCGCTTTGCCGTTGCGCAAAAAAGAAGTGATATCACATCGCCTTCAAGGCCGGCTGGTTCGAAAGTCATGGGGCGTCGCGTGAAGTTCGCGGGGGGGGTTCAGTGATATGCCAGCACCAAGCTTGGCCAGGCCTTTCATGGCCTTTCGCCAGCTGCCCCTGAGAGGCTTGGCTAACTCAGGAGCTTCGATTCCTGGCCGATCCGACTCTTGGGTTCCAGTTTCGGAGAGCTGGCGCAGCAGCGTCAGGGAGCGTCAGAGCGTCAAGAGCGTCAGGAGCGTCAAGAGCGTCAGGGGCGTCAGCAGCGTCAGGGAGCGTCAGGGAGCGTCAGGGAGCGTCGGGGGCGCCGGGGGGCGTCAGGAGCGTCAGGAGCATCAGAACGTCAGGAGCGTCAGGGGCGTCAGGAGCGTCAGGAGCGTCAAGAGCGTCAGGAGCGTCAGGAGCGTCAGGAGCGTCCACCATTCCGGCGCTGCCGCTCGAGACATCCTCACAACTCCGGCGCCGCCGTTCGAGACATTCTCACAACTCCGGCGCCGCCGCTCGAGACATCCTCACAACTCTGGCGCCGCCGCTCGAAACATCCTCACAACTTCGGCGCCGCCGCTCGAGACATCCTCACAACTCCGGCGCCGCCGTTCGAAACATCCTCGCAACTCTGGCGCCGCCGCTCGAGACATCCTCACAGCTCCGGCGCCGCCGCTCGAGCGTCAGGAGCGTCAAGAGAGTCAGGAGCGTCAGAGCGTCAAGAGCGTCAGGAGCGTCAAGAGCGTCAGGAGCGTCAGGAGCGTCAGGGAGCGTCAGGGAGCGTCAGGGAGCGTCGGGCACGCCGGGAGCGTCAGGAGCGTCAGGAGCGTCAGAGCGTCAGGAGCGTCAGGAGCGTCAGGAGCGTCAGGAGCGTCAGGAGCGTCAGGAGCGTCAGGAGCGTCAGGAGCGTCAAGAGCGTCAGGAGCGTCAGGGGCGTCCACAACTCCAGCGCCGCCGCTCGAGACATCCTCACAGCTCCGGCGCCGCCGCTCGAGACATCCTCACAACTCCAGCGCCGCCACTCGAGACATCATCACAATTCCGGCGCCGCCGCTCGAAACATCCTCACAACTTCGGCGCCGCCGCTCGAGACATCCTCACAACTCTTGCGCCGGGGGGCGTCAGGAGCGTCAAGGGCGTCAGGAGCGTCAGGGGCGACAGGAGCGTCAGGAGCGTCAAGAGCGTCAGGAGCGTCAGGGGAGCCAAGGGCGTCAGGGGCGTCCACGACTCTGGCACCGCCGTTCGAGACAACCTCGCAACTCTGGCGCCGCCGCTCGAGTCATCCTCACAACTCCGGCGCCGCCGCTCGAAACGTCCTCACAATTCGGGCGCCGCCGCTCGAGACATCCTCACAACTCCTGCGCCACCGCTCGAGTGGGATGGGTGGATGGAGGGAGCTGAATGGAAGGAGTGAGGAGGAGGAGGAGGAGGAGGAGGAGGAGGTGGATGGGGGAGGAGGACGAAGGGTAAGAAGCGGATGGGGACACTTTTAGGCCAAACTCTCGATCGACACATTTGGCAAGTTAATTGTGACGCGACTTGTACCAGAGCAGGTCGTGGGGATGTCCCGTACGACGCGCTCGATTGGCATCCCCTCGCGTGAGCAGGAAAACCGGAGGAAGAAGAGGAGGATCAATGAGGATGCTCCTTATTTCTTCCCCCTCTTTACCCTGGGTTTAACACTCGGTAGTTTTGATGTGAGCCTGCAGTCTCGTATAGCAGCCGAGTGTAGCCGCCGGGAGCCGACAGCAGCAAATAGCACCCGATGTCAGCCAATAGGACCGGATATTGGCCGCCAAGGGCCGCGCCCACCGTGGTGTAAGCTATGTCCACCGTGGTCAAGCTATGTGGTGTAAGCTAAAAGCGAATCCCTATCCCGTTACTCATTCTTCTCATGCTGCTCTACGTGTTCCACCTAGCCCTCCTCGTCCTTTCCCATGTGGACACCCCCACTGGGGCCTTCGGTGGAGCTCCCTATGGGGCTACGAGGGGTTGCCGTGGGTGGGGGAACCTCATGTGGACACCCCCACTGGGGCCTTCGGTGGAGCTCCCTATGGGGCTACGAAACGCTGCGCTGGGTGGGGGAACCGCATGTGGACACCCCCACTGGGGCCTTCGGTGGAGCTCCCTATGGGGCTACGAGGGGTTGCCGTGGGTGGGGGAACCGCATGTGGACACCCCCACTGGGGCCTTCGGTGGAGCTCCCCATGGGGCTACGAAACGCTGCGCTGGATGGGGGAACCGCATGTGGACACCCCCACTGTGGCCTTCGGTGGAGCTCCTTATGGGGCTACGAAACGCTGCCCTGGGTGGAGGAACCGCACGCGGGCAGGAGGAGGGGGGGGTGGGGAGGAGGGGGGAGGAAGGAAGGAAGGAAGGAAGGAAGGAAGGAGAGGAACGCGGGGCACCGTCTCTTCAAAACGAGGACCCAACACCACATGATGGTTGGGAACAAAACCAATGCGAAAGTGTAGATGTAGATGTAGATGTAGGTGTAGATGTAGATGTAGATGTAGATGCAGGTGTAGATGTAGATGTAGATGTAGATGTGAATATCGCTGTTGATGTTGATGTAGATGTAGATGCAGCTGTAGATGTGAATGTATCTGTCGATGTAGATGTAGATGTTGCTTTCCTAGATGCTCCAACTCCTAGGTAGGGTCGCACTGGGATAATCGTATTCGTCTTCGTCGTTGCCGTTGTCGCCCACCCCCTCATCACCACCATTATCGTCCACGTCCTCATCTGCTCATCGGCATCACCACCGCCACCATCATCATCAGCAGTAGCATCAACATCATCATCATCATCATCAGCATCATCATCATCATCATCATCATCATCATCATCATCATCATCATCATCATCATTATCATCATTATCATTGTCATCATCAGCACCATCATCATCATCAGCAGCATCATCCCCACCATGATCCGTACCCTTTCGGCTCAAGGTGGAGTCCGAGCAGGCAAGTAAGCGCGGCCCCGAGCGGTTAATCATGGGACGTACGAGCGGCCATGAGCGGTTAATCATGGGCTCCCACTGCATCCGATACGCTCTCACAGCCGGCGCCGGGCTCACGGTCGGCTTCTGCCTGGGGGCTGCCGCGGGCCTGGCGAGATTGTCCGACTTGGCGGGAGCCTCGTACGCAATCTCCTTCGGTTTCCAAGGGCTGCAGGAAAGCGCAGGGTCGCCGCCCGGGCGGACAGCCCTGTGCGCGGGCGAGCCCACCACAGGCGTTGGCGTGGCCGTGCCTGTGGCGGCAGCGACCGAGCGGGCCAGACCCCCGGTCCTGGCGGCGGCGAGCGTGGCGCAGGAGTTCGGGATCGATGGGCTTTGCAAGCATTTCGGCTGGACAGCTCGTCCAGAGGGTCAGCGAAGACCGCGTCTATTTTACTGCACCCTCGTCGGGAACAACGGCCAGCAGGACGTCTATGACCTGACTTTCGCAGAGATCTATCCGCTCGTTGATCGGATCGTTGCTTGGGATCCTTTAGTGACCATGACAGGAGCTCCAAGGCAGCCGAGCTTGAACATGTCTGACGCGAGGTGGAAGCGCTATGGGGACAAGCTGCGGCACGTCGTGTTGGAGAATCCGATTCCAGAGTGGGACCCCAAACTATTTCCGAAATGGTCTTCAGAGCAGCGGGATAAGTTGAGCAGGCCAGGGCATCACCAAAGCACGGATCCGTTCATCTTGGAGGAGTGGATCCGCGCCCAACTCCAAAGGGGCCTGCAGGACTCTGCGGGCACATGGGAGTTGCACAAAGAGGACATCCTCATCGTCGCGGACTCTGACGAAATCCCGCTTCGTGAGTCTCTTGTTGCCCTCGCTGAGTGTGAGAGCACCGTGTTCGCGGAGGTGAAGCGCAAGCTGGCTGGGGGCAGAAAACCACAAGACGCATGCGTCAAGGACGCGAAGGTACTGTTGCGTTCCCAAGTGTTTGAGTATTACATCGATTGTCCCACCACCGTTCCTGCGTGGTGGCACCCAGACGCTATCCTCGCGGTCTGTGTCATGGATGGCGGGATCGACATGCAGGAGGTCCGCACTGGCAGCTCTGGCAGTATGACGCCTGTCATGGCCTCCCGTCACATCCATAATTTTGCGATGTCTAACGATGAGGTCATCTTCAAGTACACGCACTACGCGGAGCCTAGGGTGCCAGGTCTGAAAGAGCGTGTTCTAACGTTGCTGGCAGAAAACCAGGGAGGGTCACTGGGGGGTTCCAACCCCCCCCCCCCCCTCTCGACAAGCAGGGGGGGTCACTGGGGGTTCCGACCCCCCAATTCTCCCCCCGTCCATCATGAAATGGAGGGGGGTCACTACCGGTTCGAACCCCTTCCCCCCCCCTCCTGGAAAATCTGGAGGTGTCACTAGTTACCGGTTCGACCCCCCCCCCTCCCCTCCCCTCCTCCCTCGCCGCAACGACTCCCCGTCCTCTCCCACTCTGGATGGGGGACTGGTGGGGACAATGGTTGGGACGGTGGTGGGGATGGTGGTTGGGAGTGGGGACAGTGGCAAGAGCAGGACCGTGGTGGGGACAGTGGTGGGAACAGGGGGGGTAGTGCGACAGTGGTGGGGACACTGGCGGGGACAGTGGGGACAGTGTTGGGGACTTTGGGGACAATGGGACAGATGTGGGGACAATGGGGACAGTGGGACAGTGGTGGGGACGGTGGTGGTGGGGACAGTGGTGAGGGCGGTGGTCAGGATATTGGGACAGTGGTACAGTGGGGAGAACGGTGGGGACAGTGGGGACAGTGGGACAGTGGTGGGGTGGTAGGGACATTGTGGACAGAGGGGCATCACAGTGGGACAGCTCAGTGAGACAGTGGGGACAGTGGGGAGAGTGGGACCGTGGTGGGGACAGTGGGGACAGAGGGGAGAGTGGTGGGGACAGTTGGGACAGTGGGGAGAGTGGGATCGTGGTGGGAGCAGTGGTGGGAACAGTGGGGGTAGTGCGACAGTGGTGGGGGCACTGGCGGGGACAGTGGGGACAGTGGTGGGGACAGTGGTGGGAACAGTGGTGGGAACAGTAGGGACAGTGGGACAGTGGTGGGGACAATGGGGACAGTGGGACAGTGGTGGGGACGGTGATGGGGGGGACAGTGGCGAGGGGACAATGGGACAGGGGTTGGGACAGTGGGACAGTGGCGGGGACGGTGGTGGTTGGGACTGGTGAGGGCGGTGGTGAGAACGGTGATGGGACAATGGGACAGTGGTACAGTGGGGAGAGTGGTGGGGACAGCGGGACAGTGGTGGGAACAGTGGGACAGCTCAGTGGGACAGCGGCGGGCATAGTGGGGAAGGTGGAACAGTGGCGGGGCCAGTGGGGACTGTGGGAGTTGAGGGGAGAGTGGGGTCAGTGGGGAGAGTGGGACCGTGGTGGGGACAGTGGCGGGGACAGTGGGGACAGTGCGACGGTAGTGGGGGCATTGGTGGGGACATTGGGGACAGTGGTGGGAACAGTGGGGACAGTGGGACAATGGTGGGGACAGTGGGGACAGTGGGACAGTGGTGAGGGCGGTGGTGAAGACTGTGGTGGGGACCCGGGAGTCTTTTGCCGGCGGCGAGGGGGGGGTGCAGGTAGTTTCGAACAGGTAGTGACCACCCCCCGTTTTCCAGAGAAGCGGGGGGGGGGGTTAGGGGGGGGGGGGGGGCCGGAGGAGGGGGGGAGGGGGGGGGGGTACAAGCTAGGTGCGCTCGCGTCATATCTGACGTCCTACCCCTCCCTCCCATCCCTTACCATGGCGCTGATTTTCTCTATCCGCGGACGCGTGTCGTAGCGGACCTGTGGCTCCGCGCGCGCGTGCGTCGTGGGTGGTGGTGCGCGTGCGTGCGTGCGTGCGTGTGTGCGTGGTTGTGGTGGTGCTGGTGCTGGTGCTGGTGCTGGTGCTGGTGCTGGTGCTGGTGCTGGTGCTGGTGCTGGTGCTGGTGCTGGTGCTGGTGGTGGTGGTGGTGGTGGTGGTGGTGGTGGTGGTGGTGGTGGTGCGGCGCGGTGGTGGCGGGCGGATGGGCGCGCGAGAAGGAGGCCCGCGCTGGGGCGAGAACGCCATCCTGAACGACGGAGGCCAAACACCGATCCGAAAATGAGGCCCACGCTGCAGAGGGGGCACGATTCGGAACGATTCGGGAGCAGAAGTGAGGCCGGCGCCTCAGCGAGAGCAGCATTTTGAAAACAAGCGCAAGCGAAAACCCGTTTCCCGGGAATCATGTGTGTAAAAAACAGTGCGCGGGGGGGTGTCGGGTTTCTTCGTGGCGCCATCAGGGGAAGTGGGAGAGTATTTTCATATTGTGTAATTGTCGAGCAGTGGGAGGGGATTTTCGGAGGGGGGGGGCCGGGTTCCGGAGGAAGGGGAGGGCGAAATTTTCCACAGTAGAGCGGCGGTGGATCCTTCTTTCTCCCAGGTCTAGACGCTGGGCTGTCGGCCCCGACGATTGACGAGATGCGCTGGCGAGCCTGCGACCCGAATGCATTTGACATTGGGCCTGGCGGCTGGTACATGGACGTCAGGCCGTCCAATGAGCTCGTCAGCCCGGCCAACACGCGTGGGTACCACCTGCCCGCGGAGCAGCGGCGTGGGATCGACAGGCCTCTCGCGCTGCTCGAGGAGAGGCCAGAGTTGGCCGCGAAGATCTTCTGGAAGGGGCACGACGAGCACGTGAACCCCTTCGTGGGGAAGCCGGGCGGGCATCACGACTTCTCGCCAGGCTGGGAGGAGAAGCGTCGGAAGCCAGGGTGGTGATGCTCTCGGGTCGGATCGGGTCTGGCATGGCATTCGGATGCAGTGCGGAACACCGTTGAGCCCGCGGGCTGAGCTCGGACATGCCATGATGGCGCATGCGTCCCGCACATCCAGTACAGCGTTTCGTGGCCCCCTCCTCCCTTCTCCCTGCGTCTCACCCACCCAGCACAGCGCTTCGTGGCCTCACAGGGAGCCCCACCGAAGGTCCCAGTGCTGCCGTCCGTACGCGTCCCGCACACCCACTACACCGTTTCGTGGGCCCCTCCTCCCTCCTCCCTGCGTTCCACCCACCCAGTACAGCGCTCCGTGGCCCCATGGGGAGCCCCACCGAAGATCCCAGTGCTGCCGTCCGCACGCGTCCCGCTCACCCGATTTGGCATTTTCACCCACCCGGTACAGCGCTTCGTGGCCCCATAGGGAGGGCCTCCGCCGGCCCAAGACGCCCCATCGTTCCAAGACGGCCCCAGAGGCGCCCCAAAAGGGCCCGACAACGGTCCACCAGGGCTCCCAGACGGGCCCCTGAGGGGCCCAAAACGGCCCAAGAGGGCCCCAAGACGGCCCAAGACGGCCCCAAAGAGAGCCTCAAGAGGCCCAAAGAGGGCCCAAAGAGGCTCCCAAAAGGGCCCCAAGAGAGCCCCAAGACGCCCCAAGACGGCCGCAAAGGGCCCCAAGACGGCCCAAAATTGTCCCAAAAGCGTTCCAGAAGGGCTCCACACGGTCCCCAGAAGACCCCCACGAGGCCCAAGAGACGATCAATAACACCATGGCTCCCATCAGCGAGCGGGGACGTAGCAATTATGTGGCAATTGCTGGGCGCAACTTTGTAACCTAATGGCTGCTTGTTTGCCGTTTAGTTGTAGTTAGCTGCTGTTAGTTGCCGGTAGGTGCTGGTGCCCGCGCACGTTTGGTTGGCGCCGTCCATGGGTCACACCTGGTCGTCTTAGAGGCCATGCTGGGCTGCGCCTTAGGCATTTTGGGCCATCTTGGCCTCGAGCAAAGGACGCATTGTGTTTTCGAGGGGTCGTGGCCCTGGGAGCGCGGCCCCATGGTTTCGTGTTCGCGAGAGACGAAGCCCTCGGGAGAGGAGGGCGTGTACACGGCATTCCGCATCCCTGGAAGACGTGTCTATTTTGCGCTAGACGCGTATAGACTCGCGGCGCTCTCGTTCGAGCGCGGTGCGCGAGTGTCTAAAACAACCAGTTATTATAGACATGAATAGACGCGCGGCGCTTTCGCTTGCACGGCGTGCTCGAGTGTCTAAACGTGTTCATTTGTCAAGCAGTGTCTAAAATTTTACGCCGTGTCTATTCTGCCGTGTCTGAGCATGTCTAAACGTGTCTAATCATGTCTATGTTCGCATGTATATTTCGTGTCTAAACGTATGGCCGGGTATTTTCCCCCAACTGACTGGTGAGTGACGTCCCAGCATAGATATCCAGAAAAAAGCGGAACGAACATGCGAGTCACGAGCCAATTTCGGGCGCCCAGAAAAAAAAGCTGACAATTACGACATGTGAGTAAGGTGCCAATTGTAGCCATCGGAAAAACGACGAGAGAAAACTCATGGCTGAGATGGTGCCGACTGTTTGGGAGGCAAGGGCTCCCTCGAGGGTGCGAAGCTAGTCGCGCTTCGCGCTCCCGGGGTGGCGGCGCAAAATCGCGAAGTTATTCGCGCTTCGCGGTCTGAGCCTACGACGGCTCGCAGAGCGAAGGTGGACGCGCTTCGCATCCTTGGAGCTAGGACAGCAGGAGATTGCAGCGCGAGGCGCGAAGTTATTCGCGCTTCGAGTAGAACCCGTGGAGTTTCGATCAGGTTAGGGTAAGGTTTTCGGAGGCGCGCAGAGCGGAACCCAAGGTATTCGGATTGGGTTCTCACGCTGGGCCCCTGAGGTTTAGACGTCGTTGTCCTCGAGGTGGGGCCAGTGAGTTAGGATAGGGTTTTGTAGGGAGGCGAGTGAGTTAGGATGAGGTTTTCGCTCGCAGCCCAACGGATTCGGAGACGAATTTCGCGCGTAAGCCTGGTGTTGGGATAATGTTGTCGCAGGGAGGCAAGTGAGTTAGGATAAGGTTTTCGTAGGGAGGCAACAAGTGAGCTAGGATAAGGTTTTCGCTCGCAGCCCAATGGGTTCGGAGAAGAATTTGGCGCGCAAGCCTGGTGGTAGGAGAAGGTTTTTGTAGGGAGGCCAGTGAGTTAGGGTAAGGTTTTCGTTCGCAGCCCAATGGATTCGGAGAATAATTTGGCGCGTAAGCCTGGTGCTAAGTTAAGGCTTTCGTAGGGAAGCCGCTGAGTTAGGATAGGTTTTTCGCCAGCAATCCAATGGGTTCGGATAAGCATTTCGCGAGCAAGCCTGGTGTTAGGATACGGTTTTCGTGGGGAGGCCAGTGCGTTAGCATAAGGTTTTCGTAGGGGAGCCGCTGAATTAGGATAAGGTTTTCGATCGCAGCCCAATGGATTCGGAGAAGCATTTTGCGCGCAAGCCTGGTGTTAGGATATGGTTTTCGTGGGGAGGCCAGTGAGTTAGGATAAGGCTTTCGTATGGGGAGCCGCTGAATTAGGATAAGGTTTTCGATCGCAGCCCAATGGATTCGGAGAAGCATTTTGCGCGCAAGCCTGGTAGACAGTGGGACAGTGGTGGGGACGGTAGTGGAGGGGACAGTGGTGAAGGCGGTGGTGAGGACAGTGTGGGACAGTAGTACAGTGGGGAAAGTGGCGGGGGCAGTGGGGACAGTGGGACAGTGATGGGGACAGTGGGGACGGTGGGACAGCACGGTTGGACAGCGGCGGGGACAGTGGGACAGTGGTGGGAACAGTGAAGACAGTGGGACAGTGGTGGGGACCGTGGGGAAAGAGGGGAGAGCGGGACAACGGTGGGGAGAGTGGGGACAGTGAGACACTGGTGGGGGCACTGGTGGGGACAGCGGGGACAATTGTGGGAACAGTTGGGACAGTGGGACAGTGGTGGGGACTGTGGTGGTGGGGACAGTGGTGTGGGAACAGTGGGAACGTTGTGGAAACAGTGGGACAGTGGAGGGTACAGTGGTGGTGGAGACAGTGGTGAGGGCGGTGGCGAGGACGGCGGTGGGATAATGGGACAGAGGTACAGTAGGGACAGTGGTGGGGACACTGGGGGCAGTGGTGGGAACAGTGGGACAGCTCAGTGGGACAGCGGCGGGGACAGTGGGACAGCGGGGACAGTGGGACAGTGGTTGGGGCCGTGAAGAAAGTTGGGAGAATGGAACCGTGGTCGGAACAGTGGCGGGGACAGTGGGGTCAGTGCGACGGTGGAGGGGGCACTGGTGGGGACAGTGGGGACGGTGGTGGGAACAGCGGGGACAGTGGTGGTGAGGACAGTGGCGCTGGGGACAGCAGAGGGGGATGTGGTGCGGACGGTGGTAGGGACCCAGAGTTGTTTGTTGGCGGTGAGCGTGGGGGGGGGGAGGGGTTCGAACCGGTAGTGACCCCCTCGGTTTTCGAGAGGGGGGGAGGTTCGAACCGGTAGTGACCCCCCCTGGTGTTCGAGGGGGGGGGGGGGTTCGAACCGGTAGTGACCCCCCCCGGTTTTCGAGGGGGGGGAAGGGTTCGAACCGGTAGTGATCCCCCCGGTTTTCCGGAGAGGGGGGGGGCCCGGTAGTGGCCCCTTCCGGTTTGCCGGAGGGGGGGGGTTAAGGGATGGGGGGTGGGGGGAATTTTTCATAGTAAAGCGGCGGTGGATCACGCTCTCTCACATACTCGTACGGATGCATGTGAAAATGTCTGCGCATGCCTGAGTGTGTGTCCGTGCACAGCCACACACTACGATTTTCGCGGGATTCGCGGAGGCTGTTTGGGGTTTTTCTTGGGGCAGCGTTTCGTGGCCCTACAAGGGGGCTCCACCGAAGACGATGCCTACAACAGCGGTGCTCACAATTGCATATGGTTGGGTCTTTCGCCAGGCCAATTCAAATTTACCCCCCGTCTATTTTTGCACATCAGACCATCATTAAGGCACCCGTCACCATCGAAGAAAGATCCCAGGAAGCTTTCGAGGGCCTCAAATCATCGAGCACCTAAAGCAAGTTGATGATTTTGTGGTTTCCGCATTCCCCCTTCTATACGCTTCCGAGGCTTGCGCAGGGACTCCAACAAGGTCGTTAGATACACAAGGCGCTTCAACAATTGCGATTCCATGCGTTAGCCTGTCGGGCCCAGCTAGAACTTGAGCGCGCGCGAAACGCGCGCGATGGTTATAGTATATATGGTCGAGGGTTTGCCCCCCCCCCCAATGCTAATGCCGTCGGGCCCCCCCCTTCCGCGCGATGCCCCCCCCCCTCCCCCTGTGGGCGTGGGCGTGGCGTGGTGGCTCCCCCCCCTGTGGATGTGGTGTGGGTGTGGTGTGTTGCTGTGGGTGTGTGCGGGGTGACGCCATGGTCCTCCTCCCCCCTTCCCTCCCCCCCTGTGGGTGCGGTGTGGGTGCGGCGTGTGGCTGGGATTGGCGTCATGTTGACAGCTCCGGTGCTCGACGTCGTGGCCGCCGCCGCTGGTGGTGCCGTCGACGTCGTCGTCGTTGTCGTCGTCGTTGTCGTCGTCGTCGTCGTGTCGGTGTCGGTGTCGTCGTCGTCGTCGTCGTCGTCGTCGTCGTCGTCGTCGTCGTCGTCGTCATTGCCGTCGTCATTGCCGTCGTCATTGTCCTCTTCCTCCTCCTCCTCCTCCTCCTCCTCCTCCGCCTCTTCCTCCTCCTCCTCCTCCTCCTCCTCCTCCTCCTCCTCCTCGTCGTCCTCTTCCTCCTCGTCCTCCTCCTCCTCTCCTCCTCCTCCTCGTCCTCCCCCCCCCCCCATCCCCAGATGGGCCCACGGCCCCCCCCCCCCCAGATGGGATGGGTCCCGGGGTCCTCGGCCCCCCTTCCCCCTCCCCCCAGATGGGATGGGGTGGGGGAGGAAAAGGAGCAGCAGGAGGAGGAGGAGGAGGAGGAGGAGGACGAGGACGAGGAGGAGGAGGAGGAGGAGGAGGAGGACGACGACGACGACGGCTATGACGACGACGACGACGACGACGACGACGACGACGACGACGACGACGACGACGACGACGACGACGACGACGACTACGACTACGACGACGACGACGACGACGACGACGACACCGACGACGACGACGACGACGACGACAACGACGACGACGACAACGACGACGACGTCGACGGCACCACCAGCGGCGGCGGCCACGACGTCTGTCAACACGACACCACAATCCCAGCCACATGCCGCACCCACACCACACCCGGGGGGGGGGGGGGAGGGAGGGGGAGGACCATGGCGTCACCCCGCACACGCCCACAGCAACACACCACACCCACACCACATCATCCTCAGAGGGGGGGGGGGGAAGCCACCACGCCACGCCCACGCCCCGGGGGGGCATCGCGCGGGGGGGGGGGGGGCGATGGCATTAGCATTGGGGGGGGGGGCCAAACCCTCGGACCATATCATATGGTCGAGGGTTTGGGTCCCCCCCCCCACCCGCCCCCCCCCTAATAGCCGCGCGATGCTCCCCCCCCCCCCCTGTGGGCGTGGGCGTGGCGTGGTGGCTCCCCCCCCCCCTCTGTGGATGTGGTGTGGGTGTGGTGTGTTGCTGTGGGTGTGTGCGGGGTGACGCCATGGTCCTCCTCCCCCCCTCCCTCCACCCCTGTGGGTGCGGTGTGGGTGCGGCGTGTGGCTGGGATTGGCGTCATGTTGACAGCTGCCGACGACGTCGACGTCGTCGTCGTTGTCGTCGTCGTCGTCGTCTTTGTCGTCGTTGTCGGTGTCGTCGTCGTTGTCGTCGTCGTCGTCGTCGTCGTAGCCGTCGTCGTCACTGCTGTCGTCATTGCCGTCGTCGTCCTCCTCCTCCTCCTCCACTTCCTCCTCGTCCTCCCTCGCCCCCATCCCATCTTGGGGGGGGCCCGATGACCCTGGGACCCATCCCATCTTGGGGGGCGGGGGGGGGCTGAGGACCCGGACCCCGCGATCATATATTTATTTATACATATATCGGCGCACCGGGTCCGGGGGCCCGGGGCCGGGACCCCGACCGCAAATGTGCACCCCGGGGGGGCCGGAGGCTCGTCGGGGCTTGCCGGAGGCCTCCCCAGTCAGACAAGACGGCCCAAGAAGCGCCCAAGACGGCCCAAGAAACTTCCAAGAGGCCTCCAAGAGGGCTCCGAGATGCTGAAGATGGCCTCCAGACGTCCAAGGACGCCCCCAAGAGGCCCCAAGAAGCCTCCAACATGCGTCCCAAGAGGGCCCCTAGACGCAAAAATTGGCCCATTCCCTTCGTAAAACGTACATTTTCAACAAAGTTGTCTTTTGGGCTTTCCGACGTTACAGGACGGCCCAAGAGGCGCCCAAGACCGCCCCAAGACGGCCCAAGAAGCTTCCAAGAGGGCCCCAGGACAGCCCAAGAGGGCCCCAAGACGGCCCAAGAGGCGCCCAAGATGGCCCAAGAGGGCCCCAAGACGGGCCCAAGAGGGGGCCCAGAGGGGGACCACGAACCGCAAGCTCGAGCCTTCCGCCCCAAGAGGCCGCCAGGAGGCCCCAAGGAGGCCCCTCAAGAGGCCCCAGGAGACCCCCAAGAGGCCCAAAGGAGGCCCCGAGAAGCCCCAAATCGGCCCCCACAATGCTTCGAACCTGCTTCCAGGAGGCCCCCGACAGGTTCAGAGGCTCCCAAGAAGCTACGTCAAACTCCCAGCGAGCGGCCGGACGAGGCCCCCCAAAAAATCCCAAGAGGGTTCCAGTATTTGTATCCTTCAGCGCTCTCTGGCCTTCTTCCCCCTGCCCCCTTCCCTGCGACTTTCGTTGACTCAAGCTCGCCTCCTCTCCATTTCCTCTCTCTGCCTCTCTCTCTCTCTCTGTCTTCTTCTCTCTCTCTCTCTCTCATCTCTCTCTCTCTCTCTTTCGCTCTCTGTCTGTCTGTCTCTCTCTCTCTCTCTCTCTTTCTCTCTCTTTCTCTTTCTTCCTTTCAGATTCCGTGTCCTTGCGACCTTCTGCAGTCCCCGACGTCGCCACGGCTGGATCCGCTCGAGCGTGTCTTGTGATGTGCGGCGGTGCGAAGCCCGTCCCACTGATCAAGGCACAGGTACGAAATGATGGGTCCATCATTTCTTGCCTTCCCATGTGCGTTTTCCCAATCGATTCCTGGGCCCGAGGTCGCAAAAATTACGACGTCGGAGGTCTGGGGAGGCGGGAAGCACGACCTGGACCTCCGACGTCTTGGAAAAATCACGACGGCGGTTTCGGTCAATTTTCGGCCTCCGGGGCCCCTCGCAGGGTCCCGGGACCGTCAGAAAACGACTCAGGATGAAAAAAAACACATCCCCAGGAAGTCGTCGAGAGGTCCAGGGGCCGCGCACAGAAAGCATCACGACATCGGACGTCCAGAGAGGAGGTAGGAACACGAGGAGGAGGGAGCCCAGACCTCCTGGCGACGCAACACCAAAGACAACAAAAGCTTCCCCGCGACTTCCCCCAGAGACTCTAACTACAGAAACTCCTTTCGTATTCCGGCCAGAAGCATCCAGAAACGATGTACATTAGCCCTGGCGGGGGGAATGTCGGCCCCCAAAATGCTTCGAACCTGTTTCCAAGAGGCCCCCGACAGGTTCAGAGGCTCCCGAGAAGCTACGTCAAACTCCCAGCGAGCGGCCGGACGAGGCCCCCCAAAAAATCCCAAGAGGGTTTCAGTATTTGTATCTTTCAGCGCTCTCTGGCCTTCTTCCCCCTGCCCCCTTCCCTGCGACTTTCGTTGACTCAAGCTCGCCTCCTCTCCATTGCCTCTCTCTGCCTCTCTCTCTCTCTCTCTGTATTTTTTTTTTCTCTCTCTCTCTCTCTCTCTCCATCTCTCTCTCTCTCTCTTTCCTTCGCTCTCTGTCTGTCTGTCTCTCTCTGCCTCTCTTTCTCTCTATCTTTCTCTCTCTTCCTTTCAGATTCCGTGTCCTTGCGACCTTCTGCAGTCCCCGACGTCGCCATGGCTGGATCCGCTCGAGCGTGTCTTGTGATGTGCGGCGGTGCGAAGCCCGTCCCACTGATCAAGGCACAGGTACGAAATGATGGGTCCATCATTTCTTGCCTTCCCATGTGCGTTTTCCCAATCGATTCCTGGGCCCGAGGTCGCAAAAAGTACGACGTCGGAGGTCTGGGGAGGCGGGAAGCACGACCTGGACCTCCGACGTCTTGGAAAAATCACGACGGCGGTTTTTGTCAATTTTCGGGCGTCCTGAGCCTCGGAGGCCGCCGCCTCCGACCCCCCATGGGAGGACGGGGCGGCCGGGGAGGTCCAAAAAAATCCAGGAGGGCCTCCAAAGGCTCCCAAGACGGCCCAAGCGGGCCCCGAGTCGCCGAAAGACCGCTCCAGGACGCCCAAGAAAGGCCCAAGACGGCCCGAGAGGCCCCCCAAGGCACTCCACGACGCTTCAAGACGCCTCTCCAGAGCGCTTCAAGAGGCCGAGATCGTCAATTTTACGAAGGTTTTCGAACGATTTTGACCTTCCAGCTTTTTCGGCTGTCCGACGTTCCACGACGGCTCAATAGGCCCCCAAGAGCGCCCCAAGACGGTCCAAGAGGGCCCCAGGACGGCCCCAGAGTCGCCCAAGACAGCCCCACAGAGCCCCAAGACGACCCCAAGATGCGCCCAAGAGGGGGACCACGACTCCAAAATTCGACCCTCCCGCTTGAAGAGTGCTCCAGGAGGACCCAAGGAGCCCCCAAGAGGCCCCAGGAGGCCTCCAAGAGGCACCCAGGAGGCCCGAACGAGGCCTGAAGAGGCCACAAAACAGCCCCGAGGAGGCCCCACAACGGTCCCAAAACGGCTACCGAGAAGCTGCGAAACTGCCTTCACGACGTCCCCGACAGGCCAACCACGAGATCCAAACTAACACCCATGAGGCCTCTGACCCACCACCCAGGGCACGGTGGCGGGGGCAGTGACAGCACTTGTGCACAGCATGTTCCGGCGAGAGCCTTCCAGAACACGCTGCAGGAGGAGGAGGAAGATCAGGAGGAGAGAGAGCTGGAGTGGGAGGAGGAGGAGGGGGACGAGGAGAAGGAAGAGGCCTCCAAGACAGCTCCAAGATAGCCGAAGAGGCTTCCAAGAGGGCCCTGGGCGGCCCACGAGGGCCCCAAGGCGGTGCCTGAGGCGCCCAAGACGACCCGAGAGGGCCCCAAGACGGCTCCAAGAGAGGCCCAAGAAGGGAAACACTTCCTTCTTTCTGTCCTCCGCTGAAGCATGGCCTGCTGGCGAGTGGCGCGTCGGCCGCTGTTCGTCCCTCCGACATGCAAGCCGCAAGTCGGAGGCAAAGACGTAGCAAATCATGTGATGTTTCGCGGAGAGTTAAGAAAAATATCGTCCCAAGGAAGCCCGCGAAGTGCACGCCCCAACAGGCTCCTCAAGACGCCCCCAAACCCATGCTCCCAGAAGGCCTTCTGGGAACCCGATTCTTCGAAGGCCTTTCGGAATGCAGATTGGCATGCGTGGACTGTGGTCCACTACTTCAGTGGAGCCTTGTGTTGGTTTGTCTTGTAGGGAGCTCGGGGGTACGCTTATCCCGACTCTTGCTCTCACGGCGTTGTTGTGGCCTGGTGAGTTGTCCCCGGCCCCATCGCCTGGCCCTCCACCCGTTTCGTGTGCGTGCACGCGTGCGTTGTGTGATGCGGCCCACCTTTTTATTCAGGGGCTATCGCCCCACGGCCACGTGTTGGAGATGCCGCTGAGGACAGGAGTTTGGCTCCCGCCCCGACATGCTCGCAGCCGTGGCCTGTATTTCCACATGACCTCTGTACAGCCGAGGGCCTGCGGGTGCCGAGGCACATTCCACGGGTGGGTTTCGCTTGCTTCCCGCCTAACTCTGGTGGGTTCGGTGCCGCGTCCCCCTGTGTCGAGAGCCTCTTTGTTTTGTTCCTCATGGGAGGATCGTAGCACGGCGCCCTGCGTGCCTCTGCTGGCCCCCGTCCAGGTGTAGCGGGGTCCCCTTGGGCCCCGTGTGCCTGTGAGGGGCCACTCTGAGGTGGGTCTCTGTTGCCTGGTCTCGGTTAGCGCCCAGGCTCACCCACCTCTCTGTCGCAGACGTGTCCGTACCGACTGCACTGCGCGGTCGGATACGGCAGTGACTGTTTTCCCTCAGGGCCTCGCCCACCCTGAGTGGTGTATGTGGGCTGCAGCGTGGGCAAAAAAAAAAAAGAAGGGAAACACGAACCGAGAATCCGAGCTTTCTACCCCGTGAGGTTCTCGGGAAGTCCCAAGAGGCCCCCAATCGGATCCAAGAGGCTCCCAAGAAATTCCTAAGAGGGCCGACGAGGTTCCAAGAAATCTCCCAAGATGGCCCCAAGAGGCACAACTCATCGTGTTAAGATTGGGCTTTGACGGGTTTTCATGTTTTTTTTCTGCCTCTTGGCATCCCGATGCTCCAAGACGGCCCAAGAGGCTTCCAATACCGCTCCAACATAGAGGAAGAGGTCTCCAAGAGACCCCCAAGACTGCCCGCGAGGGCCCCAAGACGGTGCTTGAGGCGCCCAAGACGGCCCGAGAGGGCCCCAAGAGCCCCAAGAGAGGCCCAAGAAGGGGAACGCGACCCAACAGCAGAGCGTTCCCCCCAAAAGGCCCACAGGAGGCCGCAAGAGGCCCCCAAGTGGTCCGACGAGGACCCCAAAAGCTTCCCGAGGGCCTAAAAGGCCCCTAAGAGACGTCCAAGAGGTTTTAAAATAGCCCAAGAGAGCCCTCGATGCGCCGAAACTGCTTCCAGCAGGCCCCCGGGAGGCTTCCGGATTGTCTCAATCTGGCCGCAGGTGGCCTCAAGTCGGGCCTCCACGCAGCCAAGACGGCCACTGACGGCTTCAGATTGCAGAACCGATGCCCCCAAGGGACCCTCAGACGCCCCCCCAAGAAGCACCCAAGAGGTGCCTCCAACAGCCAGTTGACGAAGCATGCGGAACACCCCAGAAGCTCCTCAGATGCCGTCGCGCGCCTGTGCTTGATAGCGTTGTCCAAGATCGTCCAGCGCCCCCCCGGCCTGGGCTAGAACCTGAGCGCGCGCGAAGCGCGCGCGATGTTTCTAGCCCAGGGGCCCGAAAACAGCTGCCCGACACTCCATGGGAGTACCGGGGCTCATTTCCCCTATGTTTTTATTGGGTTTCGGCGTCCCGGGCCTCGGAGGCCGCCGCGATGGTCCCGGACATTTTCCAGATCCTCGGCGCGGGCTCCAAGACCATTCCGCAGAGGGCTCCAATAGGCTCCAGGGCAGCCCAAGAGGGCTCCAAGACGGCTCCAGGAACGACTGCAGGGTCTCATTTTTCTTGTGTTTTCTGAAAGACGGCTCCAGGCAGACTGCATGTCTTATGAGGATGGCTTCCGCCTCTTGCCCCGATCATCCCAAACTGCCTGAACGGTTCCCCAAACCCAGCGCTTGCCCAAGCGCGTTCCGGACGGTCTTCGCCGGAACGCGCTGGAATGATCACGCGCTGCGGTTTCCCATGCCAACGTCCTCGGACGTGGGTGCCTTGCCACGAGCGCGTTCCGGGAAGATGCTCCCGGAACGCGCTGAAAAGATATGGCCACATCTCGGGGACGCTCCCGACACCGCTCCCCCAGCCTTTCCGGGCAGCCTCCACAGCGCTCCAGGAGGGCCCAAGACACCCCCCAGGAGCCCCCAGAATGCGAAAGGATGGCCCAAGACGCTCCCGAGCAGCCCAAGTCAGCCTTCCGACGTCTCTCGAGGCTCCCAGGTGGCCTCCAAGAGACCCCAAGAAGTCTGATAGGTATCACGGTACGGCCCGAAGAGGCCAAAGTCGTATATGTTCAATTGTCTTTTCAATGTTTTTGACTTCTCGCGTTTTCGAGCTTCAACGGTCCAAGAGCGTCGAAGAGCTTCCCAAGACCGCCCCAAGACCACCCAAGATACCTTCAGGACGGCCCCAAGACGGGCCAAGAAGGCTCCAACACTCCCGAAGAGGCGCCCAGCACAGCCCCAGACCACCCCAGAACAGGTCCAAGATGGGCCCAAGAGCGGGAGCAGGAGGCTTCCAGAGACCTCCGAGGCCTCCGGGACCCCCCAGAGGCCCCCAGCACACCCCCGATCCTTGAGAGGCCCCAAACAGACCCCGACGAGGCTCCAAGAACAACCCAAGAGAGCTGCGAGAGCCGTCCCGAGAGAGCCCAGAGGGGGTAACATCGTTGATTTCCAATGGTTTTTCCTATGTTTTTCGCCTTCTCACGTTTTCCCGCTTCCAGCCCTCAAAGATCGAGGATTTGGGAAAAAGGAGAGGGAATTACAAAAATTGTGTTTCATCAAAGTGGAACTCCTACTCGGGGGTCCTACATATCCCCTGACATCTGGCCGGTACCGCGCCTCCCGGCTTCATCCGCAGAGCGAGTTTGCAGTGCGTTTAGACATTTTTGGGACGTTTCTTTGAATTTGTCTTGGAGCGTCTTCTGGGCCTCCTGGGGGCCTCTTGGTGCCTTTTGCTTGACCCTAGAGCCCTCCTGGGAACCTCTTCGAGCGAAAACCTACGGTTTTCCGTCCGTGACCTGTGTCCCCATTGGGGGACTGGGGTGTTCCGGGGGTTCTGCTGGGGCGCCGGGGGCGCCGTAAGATCGCCCGGATACGGCCTGCGGATCGCCAAACATGGCGCTTCCAGACCGCGGGAACGACCAATGGCGGCCAAGACGGCCAAGGCGGCCAGAATTAGCCCTTGACTATCCAAGAGGCCTCCAAGACGCCCCCAGAAACTTCCAAGATGCCTCCAAATGAGCCCCGGGAGGCACAACTTGTTGCTTATCCAAAGGTTTTTGAAGGATTTCCATGTTCTCGCCTTTTAAATTTTCCGACGCTCCACAACGGCCCCAGAGGTCATATTTTCCGTTGCAAGACAGCCCCAGAGGCTTTGAAAACGGCCCCAAAACGGCCCAAGAGGGCCCCAAGACGGCGCCGGAGGCGCACAGGACGGCCCGAGAGGGTTTTATGGACCTCCACCAAATGCCCCAGTGGGGGTGCCCGCATGCGTCCGCCACACCCAGTACAGCGCTTCGCGGCCCCATAGAGAGCTCCACCGAAGGTCTCAATTGCGCAGCCCGCATGCGTCTCACCCACCGAGTACAGCGCGTCGTGGCCCCACAGGGAGTTCCGACGAAGGTCCCAGAGGCGCAGCCCGCATGCGTCTCCCCCACCAGTGCAGCGCTTCGTGGCCCCATAGGGAGCTCCACCGAAGGTCTCAATTGTGCAGTCCGCATGCGTCTCCCCCACACAGTACAGCGCTTCGTGGCCCTACAAGGGGGCTCCACCAAATGTTCCAGTGGCGTAGTCCGCATGCGTCTCCCCCACACAGTACAACGCTTCGTGGCCCTACAAGGGGGCTCCACCGAAGACGATGGCTACAACAGCGGTGCTCACAACTGCATCTGGTTGGGTCCTTCGCCAGGCCAATTTAAATTGACCCCCCGTTTATTTTTGCACATCAGACCATCATTAAGGCCCCCGTCACCATCGAACAAATATCCCAGGAAGCCTTCGAGGGTCCCAAATCATCGAACACCTAAAGGAAATTGATGATTATGTGGTTTCCGCATTTCCCCTTCTATACGCTTCCGAGGCTTGCGCAGGGACTCCAACAAGGTCGTTAGATGCACAAGGCGATTCAACAAGTGATATTCCATGCGTTAGCCTGTCGGGCCTAGCTAGAACTTGAGCGCTCGCGAAGCGCGCGATGGTTATAATATGGTTACATCAGATATGTTTATATCTGTGTGTATATATAGTTCCATGCCTCCAGATGTCCTTGACCATGTAACACCATACATCCACATATCCATAGTCCCACACTCTCAGACTCCACGCATCCATGCGGCCCTTCATCCATGCCCGCGCGCGCCCATAGCTGCATGCACCTACATGCGTTCAGAGTTTTATGCTTCCACTCCTCCTTACTCTCTTCTTATCCATACCACCATTCCTCCATACATCCATACCTCTACCTCCGTACCTGCTCTGCGCAAGCAATATTCTAATGCACTCTTCTGCGCATCACGGCCAAATTGGCTGGCGTTTGTCGCGTCGACGGGCGGTTTTGGACGCGAGTAATTTGACCCGCGCCCGCGCGACTGGAAGGAAAAAAGCTCCTCTCTCCCCTCCGTGTCCTCCACTCCTTCCGTCTCTCCCCTTCCGTCCCGCCGTTCCTTCCCCCTCCCCCCCCCATACTTTCAGAGTTTGGCTGCCACGCGCAGTTCCCAAGCCGAGTCCACGCTCTTTCGAGGAGAAGGAGGAGGAGGAGGAGGAGGAGGAGGAGGAGGAGGAGGAGGAGCAGGAGGAGCAGGAGGGGGAGGAGGAGGAGAAGGAGGGGAAGCAGGCAGAGGAGACAAGGAGGCAAAGGAATGGTAGAAGGAGAAGGAGGAGGAAGGGAGGGGGGGGAGGGCGCAGGAGAAGCGGGCAGAGTTGACAAGGAGGCAAAAGAAGGGGAGGAGGAGGAGGAGGAGGCGGAGGAGGAGGAGGAGGAGGAGTACGGGGTAAGACTGGGGAGGTTTGGGAAGAGCTAGGGGGAGAAGGACTAGAAGGAGGAGCAGCAGGAGAAGGAGGAAGACAGCCAGCGCGGCCTACACCTGGAAGTCCAGCCATGCTCCTGTGTCGGAATGTTGCTCTCGCTTGAGAGGCCCCGGGAGACCCCAGACGTCCAAGGACGCCCCCAAGAGGCTCCAAGAAGCCTCCAACATGTGTCCCAAGAGGGCCCCTAGACGCAAGAATTGGCCCATTCCCTTCGTAAAACGTACATTTTTAACAAAGTCGCCTTTTGGGCTTTCCGACGTTACAGGACGGCCCAAGAGGGATATTTATTTATTTTTTTTATATTTTTATATATATATATATATATATATATTAACTGATTTCAAAACCCTGGTCTTGGTCGCGCTAGTGATGTGACTAGAAAGCCAGAAAACAAGCAAAAAAACAAAAACAAATAACATAGTAGATTATTGAATTATTATTGTGTGATTTGCATAGCATAAAAATCTAATAACTTGATAATTCCATATAATTGAATTACTATTAAATGCAGAATAGTATTCCATTATTGCATGCAACCCTCCTCCTCCTCCTCCTCCTCCTCCTCCTCCTCCTCCTCCTCCTCCTGCAAACAAGCAGCGGCATTTCCCTCCGCACCGCGCACGTGGCGCGGGCTCTGTCTCTCCTCCGTGCGCGCGCGGCCTCTCAGGCCCAAGGG